CACAAGACAAAGGGGCAGAGGGAGGGAGAGGAAAACGGGTTCTCGGTTACCTGAAGTCCGTTTGCTTTAGACTGCTTCCTACAGAATTGTCTCTCTTCTACTAGTTTATATACCTCGGACCCTTTTCCTTTTCCTACAAAGAGCTCCGAGTCCCAGACAGAACGGTTGACTAACTATAACTCCAGTCAACCTCTGCATAAACCACTGGGGAGTAAAGAGGGGCAGGAAAGCGTCTATGTGAAAGCAGAGCAGTGGTGTCAGGGTATAGCCTTCAGATCAGCAGAGATAGCACCACCCGATCGGAGCTACCTGGACATGCACAGGAACGTGTTTCCAGAAGCCCACCAGCTGATTCTAGGTGTGAGAACCACAGTACTAAAAATTTAAACCATGGGGCCAGCAGGTGGCATGGTGGTTAAGGCATTGGACTCTCACATGGCCAACCAGGCTTTGAGTCCCAGACATGGTGGCTTGAAAATCCTGACTGGTGTGTGTGTGTGTGCCCAAAATGCCAGGAGGAGAGTAGAGAAGGGACTGTGGCATGGCCACACTGCCTGAGATATGACTTCTCCCTTTCCCTCTCTCTTTCCCTCTCTGTTTCTGGCAAGCATATGCACCCTATGGCAAAAATCTTAAAAAAAGAATTAAACTGTAATTCTCTAATAAAATAGTAGGCAAGAAAAGAATTTCTTCCATATACTTCATCAATAGTCAAATAAAAGAAGAATACTCTGGCTGTGAGCTCGACTTTCGGATACACAGCAGTAACGTGCAATCTGAGCAGTCTGACACCTCGTACAAGTGTTTGAGAAACAGTCAAACTCCCAGGGAGGACCAGGGTGGGGCCTCCCGGGCCTTACTCTCTCCACAGTGACCACAGCTTTAACTGCTAGGGAGAGAAGACTCGGTTCTCACGAGAGCAGAGAGCCCGAGACGAAGCAGTCCTGTCTGTTTCTGTCACAAGGGCCTAGGCTCTGGGCAAGAGGAAGATCCTCCAAAAGCAAAGCAAATGCATCAAAAAGAAGTCGACAGAAAATATTAATCAGGTTGAAGTGAGAGAAGACAGAAAAGCAACCCAGAGGACCAGCTTTCTACATGTGGAGAGAGGGGGACTCAGACAGAGGCAGGGACGGAAGGCAGAGGAGCCTGCTAAACCCTAGCGACATTACGTCGAATCCTTGCAGTCGCCCGACGTTCATCATGTCATTGCAGCGCTTGGGGACGATGCACATGACCTCCACGGCTCTCTGTGGGAAGAAAGCGGAGGACAGGCTCAGGCTCCCCTAGGGGGATCTCATGTCCCGCCCGCCAATGCACCTCCAAGTCCGGTCCTATCCCTCCCCACGCACCACTATGCAGGGGGCACCAAGAGACACCCCCGCCCCCGTGCTGCCCTCAGACCACCACTCAGGGACACCCAGGACTAGAAGTCTTGGGGGAGATTTGGGGGACACAGCCAGTGAAGCTGAGTACCTCTAATTCTGATGTATCCAGGCTAGCTTTCTTGGAGTATTTGAGAAAATCCTGCAAGGGAAATGGAGAGAAGGTGACAAGGGTGACGAGGATGACAGGTAACCTTTTTGGATGGCTGATGTGCTACTACCAGACACTGGCTTCAGTGTTTTGGTTCTATTTCCTCGGTTTATTCTCAGGGACACACAGAAGTTATCCTGCGTGAATTTTAAGCTGCGGTACAGCCCGTATGGACCAAATCTTCCTAAGGGTTCCTGTACTCCAAGGGGAGCCCTGGGCCCTCCTTGTATCCTGGTCCTCAGTTTCATGTCGGAAAGAGATCTCAACACACTTGAACAGCCCCTTCACCTTGGAGAAGTGTGGGACTTTGCCTTTAGTTGTGCCCACAATTTAAATCAATCAAGGGCTGTTGCTAAGGCAACAGAGGAATATGCAGGGATTAAAGATTTAATTTTATCCAAGGCTCCAAGAATTGAAAACGTTTCAGGTTAACAGAACTGAAGAAAATTCATCAGTGTTCTATGGGGGAAAAGCTCACTTTAATGGATATTCTGCTTTAGAACTTGATGCAGGTGAAAAACTGAGAAAACAGTGGATGGAGTCTTACTAGATTTAAAAAACGTACTTTGACATACTCAAAACTAGAAAATAATGAGGCTGCTTTCTTATTACTATCGTTATTTCTTTCCCCCAAACTACGGCCTTTTTCGGCCAGCCCTTCCTTTCTGCTGTCAAGTCTAATCCTCCCAACACCAGCTCCTGACACCAGAGCCGGCACCTCCCGTGTCCTCACCTTCAGCAAGAGCTGGTACTTCATAATCCTCTGCACTGGTTTAATCAACAAGTCTGTGAGCTGCAGCCTGTGGCCGAGGCGCTGCTTTAAGTCCTGTGGGTTGAAGAACAAAAAAAGATCTCGGGTGTTATTCACTAAAGAACAGTTTCTCAGTTCTTGTAATTGTCAGAAAGGGTAACTACCACACTGTCAGGAAAACAGCAGAAAGAGCTGCTTTGCAGTAAAACCCAACTCAGAACTCCTGTTCTCACGTTTTAACCTTTCTGAGTTTTTCAAGATAGTCTTTTATGCTTGTTTTAAGATCCCTTTTCAGTTGCTTTCTTTTATTCATTTAAACATTTCTTCCCCTCTTTTTTCCCTTTAAATTGTCAGAGAGTGGAAGAACTCAACAGAGAGAGAGAGAAAACACCCACACACCCCCAGTGAGCCGTGGTCATGCCACAATGCTTCCCCCTTCCTTCCCCATCCCACCAGAATTCGGGGCACACAGGCACATGCGTGGTGTGTTTTTCAAGCAGTTGGGCTGGGATTCAGACGATGGTGGGTCATGTGGGATCTGGCTTTCCTTAACCACTAGGCTACCGGGCTGGTCCCATACAAACATGGTTTTTTGAAAATGTTTTAGGCTAAATGTTTAGATCATGAGTCATTCTAATGAGCCTTCAGTTTAACACTAATAAAAATTCATTAAAAATTTTTTTAAATTGAAATTATTTTTTAAAAGTTTTATTTTGAAACAAAGTCTGATCATGTGATCTCCTGGCTAAGACGCCCAAGCTGTCGGGATAAGCAGCACAGTTTAAACGGCTAGCCTTTAAATTGAGCTGGGAATAGAACCTAGTCCTCACGTGGTCCCAGCCTGTGGAGCATAGCGCCTTCCTTAACAGCGCACACCCTTGTGTCTGGAACAAAAACCAAAAAACACCACCAAGGAAACCATGTTACTTTTAAAAATGACTCCAGCACTCTGAATTCCAGGGAGTATGACTATAGAAAACACTCATTCCTTTTTCTAATTTACAGGAAAGAAAGAAAGAAAGGTTTAGAACTCTTGTCACTCAGGCTACTTTTCTGCGTAGTCTCCCGAGAAACCTACGATACTTTACATTTTGTAAATGACCTGCTTTTATCTTGGTTCTTACCTCAAAAAAGGTATCAATGTACTCCGAGACAATGTGCTCAGACTTTGGTTTATTTTGACAATAAACTATGTACATGTGCAGCCTTCTCTCCTAGGGACAAAAAAGGCAAGCAGATGGGTTACCACCACCGGAAGGTCTACCAGCATAAAAGAGTACGTGCAGTTTCGGCATGTTCACAAACGACCCTGAAGCACAGCTGTGTGGCCGAGGCCTCGGGAGCAGATGCACGATGGAGCATCTGCTTCCGGCTCTGACAGCCCTGATCACGGCCTCCCACGTACCAGACCCTGCACGTTACACGCCAGTCCCCGAGGTGAGGCAGCACACTTCGACTCCCACCCCTCTGAACCCTGCCAACGGCCCTGGTAAGCTGGGCCACTTTCACAAGGGAAGAAAAAGCTCTTCAACCTCAAATCATACAGACTGGGGAAAAAAAGCAGACAACAAGCCTGGTGAACCGCAGTGTGTGAGGTTCCTGAGGCCTTTCCGGGGTCCCATGAAGTCAAAACTCATTTCAAAATACCACTAAGATGCTGTCTGCCTCTGCACTGTGTGGACGTCAGTGCTGCCACGTGAACTAACGGTGAGGGAAACTGCTGGCGCCTTGGCACACATCCCAGTTAAAAAACCAACATGTCAATTTCATTTCAGAATGTCTTTGATGAAGTAATAAAAGTGATTCATTTTATTGAAACTCAGCCATGGAATATACACCCTGACTCCAGCCACGTGAGGAGATGGCAGCCTGTCCAGCGTGTCTGCTGCACACACGGTACGTATCTCGAGGGAGGCCACCTGTGCACGTGTCACGAGCTGACCCAACTGGCCCCCTTAACTAGCCATCACTTTCACTCGAAGGAATGATGGACATGAACTATAATTACCAACACTTGGATATCTGGTAGACATTTTCTTTTTCTTTTTCTTTTTTTTTTTAAAAAAGAATTATTTAATTCCATTTATCATTATTACTATTATTATCAATTTGGCCAGAGAGAGATAGAGAGAGAGAGAGAGAAAGGGGAAGGGAGAAAGAAAGCTGCCAGGTCTAGGGCTTGAACCGTGGTCTGCCATGTGGGAATCCAGCACCTTTAACCACCACACCACCTGCTGGCCCTCTGGTAGACATTTTCTCGAACATTAATGCAGTCGGTAATTTTAAGGCAAATCACTGGCAGTATTTGTTAATAATGGAAATTAAAGCTTTCAAGTAAAAAATTAAAATTTTGGAAAATACGAATCTGCCACAGTGAACTTTACAATACTCAATGACTTTTCTGAAAAGAGACGGTGATGTCAAAAATCTTTCCTGGCGATCATGTAACAAACCATGTCAGCATCTCGAAGCTCTGCCTAAGTCAGCAAACCAGGATCGAGACAGGATGTGAAGAGATGGAGCATGGCCGGGCCTGAAACACGAGGCAGTTGGCCGGGTTTACAGTAAGAGCAGGGCAAAGCTCACAAATAGGGATTCCAATTCCACGGTGCGACTAACCTTTAGGAAATCACGACTTGCCAAGTTTTGGTGTCATATCTAAGAAAACTATGTTGACCTGAAGCGGTTCTTAAACACTTGTCCCCTTCTAACTACACATCTGCGTGAGGACGGGTCTCTTACATATACTTTAAAGAAAAAAGCAGTCACAGAAGGTTGAATGCAGAAACGGATTAAAACCCACTAGCCTTTAACTGAGGCAGACATGAAAGAGATTGAAGAAAATGTAAAAACTCTTATCATTAGTTTTTTTTTTTTTAATAGATTTTTGCTATAGTGATGTGCACTCACTGGAGAGACAGTGAGAAGTGAAAAATCACCACCCCCTCGCGGGGAGAGGGAGATGGCTATGTCGTAATCCCTTCTCCACTTTTATCCAGGGATTTTGGGTACACATGCACATATGCCCAGAGTAAGTTTCAAGCTGCCAGGTCTAGGACTCAAACTGTGGTTGGCCATGGAGGGGTCCAAGGAAGGCCTTAATTTACTACACTACTTGTTGATTCCCATTAGCTTTTTAAAAAAAATGTAGTAATTTTTCTTAAAAGAAAAGTCAAATTTCAAAAAAAAAACCACACTTATTTTGAATACACATGTGTACTGGGTCATCAGAAAAGTAATGACGTGTTTTACTATGCATAAATGCATTATGACTTTTTTGACGACTCAGATTTTGGCTTCCACGTTAAACCTAACATAAGAACGGGGACATTTTTTACCACAGCTTGTCTTCCAGATATCCCAAATGTTCCCGCTTCAGACCTGCTCTGGTCCCCTCTAACCAACCCTTCTACTGTTTGCCAAATAGTGGGGCCGGGTGATGGGGAAAACGGCTAATCAGTGTGTACAAGATCAAGAGGATATCTTAACTGCAACTTGCTGACACTGAGTGGTTTGACTTAATTTTCAAAATATATGCTTGTGTGAACTACAATTGAGTAGTAACTTGACAAATGACTACATATGACAATATCGAAACAGACATAACAGTATTGAACTTACGTGTTTAACAAAAAGGGATCCTAGTTTTTCCGGATCTTCAAGGCACTTCTCTAGCTCTCCTAAAAAAAAACTAAAAAGTGAAGGGATACTATCAGAACCATTTCCAATTTGGCCTTCTAATTTTAGATGCAGGTTTATAGTTTAAAAAGAGTTATAATCAGGAAGTAGAAAGTATATACATAATAAACACAATGTTCACAGAAAACACCTTGTTGGGATATACAGTGAAAAGACAGTTAAAAGAGAAGAGTCAGAATGAGAAGATCCTTTGGCAACCTTCCCTTCTTTTGGGCAATCAACAATTCTTGCCACATTTTTCCCCCCGAAGAGAGATTTTTGCTATAGGGTGCATGTGCTCACTGGATAGACAGAGAGAGAGAGCACAGAGTCAGAAAGCAAAAAATCATCCACTGCGGGGCTGGCCATGCTGCAATCCTTTCTCCTCTCGAGACTTTGGGCATGCACATGTGCTCAGTGTGACTTTAAGCCGCCAGGTCCAGGACCTGAACCACGGTCAACTACATGGGAGTCCAGCGACATAACCATTACACCATCTGCAGGTTCCCCCACCCACAGTTTTTTTTTTTAAGGGACAAGCGCAAATGTGCTAGGCTGAATGATAAGTGAAAAACAAATGTCTTAGAACAATTGTCATTTTTTTTTAATTCTGAAAACTTGGTCTTTATGCCTATAAATTTCATATTCATTCTATGATAATTTTCATTCTATGATAATTTTTAGAGTCAAATGTAATAACAAATATAAAATACTAAATATTTGACTTGTGCCAGCTTCATGAAGGTTTCTCAAACAGTATAAAAGCCAGCCTCTAGGTTATACATTTTAGCATCCATCAAAATTACAATTAGGTATAATCTCAGAAACAAAAACAATGGTAGGACCACTGCTCTTCATTTTCTTCTGGGCTGCAGTTGTCTTTAAGATGTGTATCTAACCGACACTTGTATATGCTGATGTTATCACCCTGCAAACCAGCAGATAGCACTTGAGGTTTTACTATCCCCCGCTCTGCAAACATGGTAGCAGACAGTACCTCTGCATGTGATTCTCTGTTAACCCAGGAATATTGCATCATTTCCCCCTGCTTCCCACCCCAGTCTTAAACCAGCCTCAGGAGTAGGAGGCTGACAGTACCAATATCCTTCTGAACTGGTTTCCCTGCAGGCTTGCAGTTAAGTCTCCAATCTAGAAACTGCAGTGGTCTCTGAAGTTGACCAATCATTTGTCTAAGAGTACAACTGAATTAGACATTACAAAGGATATGAAGAAAAAAAAAGACCCTATGTCTGAGTTCAAAGGTTTTGCATCCTAGTAGGTAAGTACAGAAATAACAAAACACTCCTTGACACATGCCATGGTAATACCTCCTCGCATAGCTACAGAGCACACGCATATCTACTATTCGTAGAAGAGAACACCTCCGACTAGAATGTCCAGGCTCACTGAAAGAGTCAGTGTCTGACCTAAGCTTTGATGAGGGCAAGGCTTCAAAACAAACAAACGAACCAACCAATTATTTATTTATCTATTTAATTCCATTTGTTATTATTATTTTTTAATTTGAGCAGTGAGAGACAGAGACAGAGAGAGAGAAAGGGAAAGTGAGAAAGCAAGCTGCTAGGTCTGGGACTCGAACTGCAGTCAGCCACGTGGGAATCTAGTGCCTCTAACCACCACACCACCCGCTGGTCTCAAAAAGGGCAAAGTTTTACAGGTGATGTCCGCATACTCCAGATAGGGGGGGCAGCAACATACATAAAGATGGGGCTGTAGGAGGCCTGTCCAGGGAAGGGGGACAGTGTGGTGTAGCCGGATCATCCCACTGCAAGACCAGCAGCTGCCATTAAGCAATCCTACATGATTAAGGAGTTTAAAATCACAAGCAAGGCCACCTAAGGGGACAGGTGTGATGACACCTGGGAAGCCAATGCGAAGTGCCACAACATGCAGATCTCCTTCTGATCAGGACAGGTAACGTATTGGGATCAACTGTTCTCATGGGCGATTACATCCACTTTTTCCATTAAAACCGAGCTGAACGAACAAACAGTAACTTGTATTTATTCAAAAGATGGCTGCCATTCCCATAGGAAACACAGAGGCTTGCTGTATGTGGATGCTATTCCACCTGCTTTTGCAGGCATTAACTCAGTCACTCTTCACAAAAAACCCACAGGGTGGGTAACTTATCACCCAAGCTGTGTGGATGAGGAATGGCGGCACTCGGAGGGGAAGGAGAGGGGTCAAGGTCAGGACCAGGCCAGGACCCTGGCAGTCAGGGTCTGGTTGGTGCTTCCACCTACCCCCAGCACAGCCTCGACCCCTGGTCCAGCATGAAGACAGAACTTTTCCCCGGACTGCGCCACGTGACTGCACAACATCTCAAGGCATCAGTACTTCCTCTGCACCCTCCACGAGGCTACCAGGCCATAAACTCAAATGAATCAGTAACTCTCCTGCGCTACTGTCCTGATCTGACAGGGGTTAGCAAGTGCCGGTGCTTTGCACACCAGGAAACACGACTATGTGCTACGTACTCTCTGTGCCAGTCGTAAATCTGATGGATGTTGCCAAACACGATCTTGTCTTTTCCTTTCATGTCGTCAGGAACACCATCTTCCTTCATCAGTGCCATGTAGAAAAAAAAAAAACAAGTTTATCTCACGGGATATGTTTGATTCAAGTAGTGTCTTACTGACTAATAATCACAGAGGACAAAACAGACACACGCACCATCTTATAACCATTCTTTATTTAAAAACAAACAAGAAAACCCACATGAAAAGTGTCTATACCTAGTATTTGAAATCTATCACTACACTTAATGCTGGAATTATTTTCTCCCTGAACTGTTTGGTATTCAAAGATCAAAATTGTTCTTTGGAACTGAAGTAGTTTCGATGAATAAAGATGTTTTCATAAAACAATCTGATCGGCTAGTAAATATTAAATATTTGGTCTGAAACATATTTCCCGTTTTTGACTTTCCCCTTGTGGATTATTTACATAATCCATTAAACAAAGAGTTACTAGCATTTAAAAAATAATTTGATCTTTAAATAGTAGTTGGTTAAAAGTGCTGGTAAAATGTGGTTTAAAACTTCTACCAAGGGGCCAGTAGGTGGCGTGGTGGTTAAGGTGCTGGACTCCCATGTGGTGGACCATGGTTCAAGTCTCGGAGCTGGTGGCTTGCTTTCTCATTTTCTCTCTCTCTGGTGAGTGCATGTGTCCTATAGCAAAATTTAAAAATATTAATAAAAGAAAAACCAAAAGAAATTCTACTGAGGGGCTGGGGGTTGGCATGGTGATTAAGGTGCTGGACTCTCACGTGGTCGACCGCAGTTCTAATTCCAGACCTGGCTTGAAAATAACACCAGGTGCACATGCACGCATGCCCCAAATCCAAGGAGAACGGAGGAGAAGGGGTTGTGGTGCGGTCATATCTGTCGCGGAGGGAGGCGATTTCTCACTTTCCCTTTCTCTGTCTCTTTCAGGTGAGCACATGTGCCCTATGGGAAAACCTAAAAAGACAAACAAAGCAAAACAAAACTTCTATTGAACTTGCATGGGATTGAGCCTATCTAACAGCCTCGTAAGTGTTCAGGTACTTACATGATGGTTCAGGGACTGCAGACAAATCGGGCATGTTAAATCTTTTATGTCATACAACCACCTGGAATAGCTGTTACTTTTAACAAGATAGACAACTCAAAAGCATTGCTATTGGGGCTGGCAGGTGGTTTGGTGGTTAAGGGCACTGTACTCCCACATGGTCAACCATGGTTTGAGTCTTGGACCTGGTGGCTTGCTTTCTTACTTTCTCTCTCTCTCTCTGCTCCTCTCTGGTCAAATGAAAATGAATCAATCAACCAATAAAGTTAGATAAAATAATTATTTTAAAAAAGAAAAAAAGTATTGCTATGTATGTATTTGCAAAGCTGATTAATAAATGATAAAGTTTTATATGAAAAAACAACTTTGGATGAGTTAAATTTATTATCATTATGTCTTGAACTTATCGCCAGGGATGGGGCTGGAAATGACTCTCAATTCAGCAAAAAGGCAGGGGTTTTGCTACGGCTACACAGTATTCTACACCTTCTGGTCCATACAAGTGGGGACACATTTATTCTGTGCACTCTAAGTAAATGACCCAGGGAGCCAGAGACCTGGCCCTGAACTGTGGATTCACGAGACAGCTGAATCCACAGCTGGGCACAACTGACTTCTCCAACCACTAATGCTCTCATTTGTGGGGTGATACTCACTTTTATAAAACAATTAAATGCAAGGCCCCCACAAAATAAATACAAATGTTGGATATGAAAATTTAAAAACCTAATTATAAAAAAAATACCTCAAGATGTCTTATGCAAGAAAAAATAAAGTGTTTATAATGGCATACAGATGGCTACAATAACTGGCTGAATTTTGTTTTTCAGAAATATTTTGTTAGCTGCTTTTCTTGGGTCAAAAATGTTTTTAAAGCTTTTGAGAAAGTACTGGTGCTAAACTTTTTTTTAAAAAAATTACCTCTTTGGACACCTCTTGGGGCTGATACAAGGTTATTAAATCTCTGAAAATACATACCTCAACCACATAGCCAAGGTCCCGGACATAATCCCGTTCTGTCTCCACTAATTCTTGCAAAACGTAGCTGGAAAGAGAGAAAAAGAACGTTTTCACAATTCTTTGTTTTCTAAATAGAATTTTGTTTTGCACTTTTGCTTTTGTTAGGGTGAACTCCTACTGGGACTGTTACCAAATTTTAAACATGAGGCTTAAAGTCTTGAGCTTTCCAAATCGCTTACAGGTTCAAGTGGGTGACTTGTGAGAGCTATGAGTGTCGAAAAACAGCTGCATGCACGTAAGTGCAACTGGTGTGAATTCACTCACTGGCTTCTGATCACATATATGGACTCAGATAACAGAATACAATCACTTGATCAGTATAGCACACGGCCTCGATCAGCCTGAAGAGATTCATTCACTCAAGCATCTCACCCCTGAGACCACCTGTACATCCAACGTGAAGTGCTGGACTATAGCACCAAATAAAGCCCGCATGAAACTTACAGTTTCTCCTCTTCTCCACAGGGGAGTGTAACCTTTCGTAATATTTTTCCAGCACTTCTTTTTCCTCTTCAGTACAAGCTGCCTTGCTGGTACTACTAAATGTCAGCAAGAAACACCCTACTACAGTATGTTTTAAGAGTATTCATGCTGGGGCCAGCTGGTGGCATGGTGGTTGGGGCTGGACTCTCATATGGCCCTCCATGGGTTCTGGACCTGTTGGCTTGCTTTCTCATTTTACCCCCCTACCCCGCCCCCTCCCCCGGCCTATCTCTGGTGAGTGCATGTGCCCTGCGGCAAACTGGAAATAATAATAAACAAATACTTCTCAAAAAAAGGAGAGCATTCATGTTTTGGGGACTGCATCGAATTTTGTATTGTCTTTTTCTTTTCCAACAACATACATAAGGGAAAGTCTAGGAGTTTCTCACCAGAAGTGAGACAATATCCCTGTCTCGCATCGTTTTATTGAAAAGGAATACTGTACTCCGGGTGATTGGCACACATATGGACATTGTCCTCACTGCACTCATTCAGGGATCGATGCCGGTCACATTTTTGAAGGTGAAACTCAAGACAGGAGGGAACCCCAAGAACAATGAGAATAAAAATGTTTGCGCCTTACTGCCGTCTCTTCAGGGAGCTGGATTTCCTTTCTTCCATCTCATCAATGGGCGAGGACGAAGAGAGAAGGGAATTGTCTGAAGGGTTGAAGGAGGGGCTGCTACTGTCTCCCTGGTCAACCAGAAGTGAGCTCGGACGATCCTCCAGTGCCTGGAAAAAAATGGAGACCATCAACAGTGCTGAGTGCCTGCTGTCTACGACGGGTTCAAGTCGGGCCAGGAAAATCCCCTAGGGTCAGGAAATGCAGAAGATGTGTGTGTAGACTTAAAAAAGCCGTTTGTGAATCACATGGTAATTAATAACACACACGGGACTGTACTGTTAAAAACAAACTGCAAGGAGCTCAGTAAAAGAGGAAAGTTAGAACAAAAAGGAGAGTGAATTTCAACACGTTAATGTATTCTGTTCTTGATTAGCGAATAATCAGAAATAATAAATCTGCCTGCATTAGAGCACTATACCTATTCCTAGTCAGAGTACAGACTATGGATCTGGAGTTCTCTCTGTGGGTACATCCCTGCCCAGTGAAAGCATGAGTGTTTCAGAAGGGTGTGGATCAGGCCAGCGCCGCCCCAGACAGTCTGCAGTTCTTGTCGGCAAGTTATGGAGTGGCATCAGCAAGTTACAGTTTAAACAAGCTTGGTTTCTCGATTATCTGTGAGGCCTTGACTCGTACTTCAATACAGAAAGATCACCCAGTTAAAATTAATCTCTTACAACTTCCTTTCTAGCCTGTCTATGGGCATTAGTAGCCAACTCTCTTCCCTGGGTTTTAGTTCCCTCAGGTGAATGTTCACATTTGTTTTCCTGTAGAAAGGTGCACAAAACATTGCAGGTGTCCAATAAATCTATGAGTTAAGTAGTGCTGGCTTCTCTTCCCAGGTTACTGTGACAATGCTTGGAGGCAGATTGCTTTTTTTTTTGGAGAGGTTTTTGCTATAGGGCGCGTGCACTCGCCAGACAGAGAGAGAGAGACAGAGAGACAGAAAGCGAGAAATCACCCCCCAGGGGGGATGGTCACGCCGCAATCCCTTCTCCTCCATCCTCCTCTTGGGATCTTGGGCACGCACGCACATGCGCCTGGCATGAGTTTTAAGCCACTGGATCTGGGACGCGACCCGCGGTCGACTACGTGGGAGTCTAGCAACATAGCCATTACGCTAACTGCTGGTCCCCCAGACAGATTGCTTTCTAATAGGCACACATTAATTTTGTTTCTTTACCTGGATTCACAAAGTCTTCATGGTAAAAAGATTTTATAACAGTTGTTCTAAAATTTCCAAATCATATAGAAATGATTAAGAGATATTTATTGACCAAAATACAAAAATGTGATCAACTTCTTTTTGGACAAACAGCCCAATAAAAAGCACAAGAACACATAATACTTCAAGCTGAAATCTCAACCACTTGGCCTGCTTTCTCTCCTTAACAGTAACAGACTGAATCTGACTTTGCCATGAAGCAGGTTGCGGACACAAAGCCTCTATGTGTGATCTTGCTAAAGAAAAACCATGGGGTTGGCAGAACACACCAACTGCTACTCTTGTTTATGGACAACAGGACACTAAGCTGGTTAAGAAACAGTCTGATGTGAAAACTACACTCTTGTAAATAAATAGCTCTTGCCCTTCCCTGGAAGCAATGCTGTGCATACACAGCAGAGCATGAATCGCGTTCGTCCGATCGGGTTGGTCTTCGCCAGGAGCCCACATCTGGCAATCGGAGGAGGCCAGTCCTGCCTCCCTTCTGAATAGCTGGTGCCCATGAGGTTTTATTCTGCTCACGGGAACAGTGAGAAACGAAAGAAAGGAAGAGAAAGGCTCTGTTAGTTCCCCTGAGGCAGAGGACAGTCATGGACTTCATTGTGTCTGTGGGAACGTCTTCTAGAATCTGGAAGGGCTGTCTGGACCCGAAACCATGGAGGCTCAACCTCCTTCGGCTGTATCTTCGGGTGTGACCTGGCCGGCCCTAACCAAGGGCAGCCCGAGAGGGTGCAGGTGCCCTGGGAGGAAGCAGCCATGGACATGTGTCCTTGTCACTCTGACTGTGCCCATCCGCCTGGTAAACAATGTGTGATGTAACGGCTGTGCCCACACAGAGGTGCTCGGGCAGTGATGGCTGGACTTCAGATTCTGAACGAGTTACCGGGAAATCTGGGTGCGGTTGTTTTTGTGAGTAAGGCCTTGTCAACTTATTTCTTTCTCTCTTTTTAAAAATAATTATTTTTATTTATTATTATTATTTTAATTTGACGAGACAGAGGAAGCTGCTAGGTCTGGGATTGGAACTGTGGTTGTCCGTGTGGGTTGCCCGTCCAGAGCCTTACCCACCACACCACCTGCCGGCCCCAATGTCTCTATTTCTTACATGAAGTTAGGTCTGCACAGATATTCTCTTTCTTCTTAGGTTGATCTTGATAAGTGATGTTTTCTTGGGAAACTGCCTATTTTATCAGGTTTCATTTCAAATTTTACTTTCAAAGAATTGAACAAAGTAATATTTTACAGTTATTTGAATCTCCTCAGTTTACTTCTTCCTTTTTAATTCTTAATTTTGCTTTTGTCCCTATTTTTTGAGGTTGCCTTATGTCTATATTTATTTTTTTAATTGGCTTTATTTATTGTTTTCCAATTCATTAATTTCTGCTTTTACCTCAATGAATTCCTTCCTTTTTTTATTGTTGTTTTCCTTTTTAAAGGTTTGAAAGATCTTTTTCTATATTCATGGGAGTGAGTGAGTGGGGGAGAACCCTCCCCAGGGTCTGTGCTATGACTCCCTTCCTACAGTTTCCAGCCCATCAGATTTCGGGCACTCTCTCCTGTGCCTAGTGTGTAAAAGACAGATCAGGCCAGGGATTCGAACCATGGACACCATGCGGGATTGACCTTCTCTTGAGCAGTGCATCATTACAGTATCACGGAGCAGCCCTTTCGTTGCTCTTTTAACATTCTGAGTTATAGGTTTTTAAATTTATTCATTTTTTAAGAGAGTTTTTTTTTTTCCCCTCAGATCACGTGCACTCCTTGGAGAGACAGAAAGTGAGAAATCTAGGGGCAATGGCCACAGCACAGCCCCTTCTCTTCCATTCTTTTCTTGGGATCTTGGGCGTGCACATACACATGTGCACGCACACACTCACACTCACACCTACACCTGCACTGGGCAAGTTTAAGCCACTGGGTCGGGGACTCGAACCGCAGTCGATTACAAAGGAGTCCAGTGACGTAACCATTTCGTCATCTGCTAGCCCCTCCTATTTTCATTCGGTCTTGCACTTCTCCTTTATTTTTGATCAGCAAAGAGAAGAAAACCCCCAAGTTGAGTCTGAACAGCTGCTGTGTGGTAACAGGCTACCATCACCCTAGCTCCAAAGCTTAAGAAAGATGTTCGACCTTTAAAAAGACCAACTGGATCAAGGACGGGGAGGTAGCAGAGATGAGTGAATCCCAGGGAACACTCTGTCCTCAGATTTCAGGTCTCGGTAGGTTCAGTTCCTTGAATATCATACCACACAGCAATTGAACACCTTTTCTCCTCTCCTCCCAGCCCACTAGATCAATAATCGCTAAACCATCCAGCATTCAAACCCAGTGATGAAGGAGTCATAGCCTCGGACACCACGAGGAAACATTCGCGGATGGGACGGATGACCCACAGCACGGTCACGGGGTGCAGGATGGGTTGAAGAATACCAAGAGGACTGACTGGAGTCTTTACTGACGAAGTAGTTCTCAATCCTGCGACATCACAGGATTGGTGACAGGAGACCAATGTACACCTGTTTCCCTTGAACCAGAGAGCAAGCAGAACCCAACTACACGCCATGGCAGAATGATGACAGGATCTGCCTGCCAAATGAAGTATAAATATGGTTCTCCAAGGAGCAGGGCGGGCCTCAGCAAATGCCCGTCTTGGGGAACCTTGTTGGAAGTTCAACAAACAGATCTTTAGGGTCAGGCTCAGAGAGTCTGGAGTACCTGTCCAGTGAAACTCAACTGTAAAAAAAGGAGATCTTGAGCCTAAGTCAAGCTGACCCTCAAACCTATGGTCTGTCCATTGCACAAATAGCTTTGTACCCTTTAAGAGGAGACTGAAGGGTGGGCCAGTGGATGGCATGAAGGTTAAGGCACTGGATCCCATATAGCTGACTCCATGGTTCAAGGCCCAAACCTGGTGGCTTGAAAATCACACCAGATATGTGTGTGTGTGCCCCAAATCCTGAGAGAACAGAGGAGAAGGGATTGTAGTATGGCCATCTCCCATGGGGGGGGGGTAATGAATCCTCACTTTTCCTCTCTCCTGCTCTCTCTCTAGTGAATGTATGTGCCCTATGGGAAATTAAAAAATATATACATATTTAAAAAAAGAAGTGACATAAGGGAGCATAAATAACTTAGTTCCAACTGAGTAAAGTGATCAGGTTGAATTCCTCAGATTGAAAAGGAGAGACCAGGAAGAGTCTACCACGACTGCCCCACAGGCATCTCCAGCAGACACCCACGGACTCAACCACAGAGCACAGAGACCCCGGGAGTGCAGCCTGGCTTTCCCAGGGTGAGGCCCAGCAGGCTGACGAAGTGTTGCCTCAGGCAGTCCCTGGGAAAACCATTTCAATTATTAGAATAATTTTAATGGTCATTTAATAAATGTGCAAAGATGGCTTTTAGAACACTGCTCTGGGATGCCTGTCAAGTCACGGGATATAATTCAAGCACCTTTGTTTAGACCATTCATCAACTTGTCTCTCAAGGAGACGCAAGGATGTGGTTACAACCACATGCAATTCGTACTGGCCTGACTCCAAGTTCCTGACCAGCAGAGCCAGAGTGCTTGGGTTATCGACCAGGTCCTAGCAACCTTCCTGCCTAACTGCAAAGCTCGTTGTGTCTTTTCCAGAACACAGTGTGACTGCCTGGGGAGAAACTCCTAACTAAGGCAGCGCAGCCCTGTCAGCCTGAAATTTCTTTTATGTAATTCCTAATTCCCATCTGACCCAGTCAACCAGCTTCATTAGAGGCTGTGTAGGGTAGCGGAAGAAATGGGAGTTATGTATTCGACACCTGGTGAATTCTCGACTGCAGGAAGATCAACCTCTAATTTAAAAGAGGTAAATTCATCTCGCACTTCCAATCTGGGAATGCTTCCTATAGATATCATCACACATGTCCTGAATATGGATGTTTACCGAGTAAAAACCTGGCAACAATGTAAATAGATATTAGGAATTTACGTGAATGAATTAGAGTATAACTGTCTGTGCCCCGACTAGCAGTCAAGTTTCTATACATTCTGGGAGCCTCCTTTTCTCACCTGTAAAATGGGTAACAAGAGTGCGGGCCTACCTCCGGCTGCTGCAGGGGATACGGAAATTAACAGATGCTCAGCACCTGGTTTGGAGTCAGCTCCCAGAGGGATTATTAGCACAGTACCCACATCATGGAAAATGATGCCGATGAAAAGGGAACAGGTGATCTGTATGTGAGGTCTTTGAGATATATCAAGTCTTAGAATCTTAAAAACAGAATGACTCCACTCTGAAAGCAAAAGCATGATCTCTCACATATCCATGTTCACATGGGCAGGGAAAACAGCTGGAAGGTGATGTGCACCCCTCCAGGGGTCACCGCCAGGGAATAGAACAGTGGCAGAGGCTCCAGGCCTCGGAAAGAACTGACTTTCAAAAGATGTTAAGTGCAGTCGGATTCATTAGTCAAACCATTATCATTATTGGTGGTGTGTCCATGTCCCAGTCAGGACTGAAGGAACAGAAAATAACTGATTCTGAACATCCAGCAAGGGGTGGGCCAAACACGCTGTCATGTGTCCTGGGAGAAGCTGGGGCCACTTGCCAGAGTCCTCCAGGAGAAGACACCTGGCACCGTCCTGAACCCCGCCCAGACCACCTCTTCCCTTGGTAAAATTTGATCCATGCTCTTTCCTGGTAGTACACCACAACTGTGGGAATATGGGTGTTCTAGTTCTGTGAGTCCTTCCAACAAAGCAGTGAGCTTGAGCGTGCTCTCTTGGCTCCTGTGCTGTGTAATAGGCCCCAGCAGCCCTGCAGAGCTGAGCCACGTGGGGACTGGGCATGCTCTCTGCACCACGCAGATGGAGCAGACCGGAATGGGGCCTGCCTGGCAGCCTTCTGGGAGGGCAGCTTACCATCTTGCTCTTCACCAGTTCCTCGATGGCGCTGACGAGCTCAGCTGCACTCGGCGTCTCGGAGCTGGTGGGGCGGACTAACAACCGAGAGGAGGCCTGCGGAGGAAGTCGGGAGAAAGAAAGGGGGAGGGGGAGGCCTCCCATCAGTAACCCGGCAGACGGTACACTCCCCTGCAAGCTTGAGCTGTTCTAAAAGTAATTCCAGACAAAAAGACCACAAGTTTGTCTTTGTTTGCATTTATTTAAAGCCATCCTTTAGAATTTACAATATTCTGACATGAAACATTAAATAAACCTGTCTGGGATACATGTGGAAAGCAGACGGTGTCTGTTTTTAATCTGCAGTCATGAAACATCATAACGTTTTTCAAGAGGTGACTGGGCACGGGAAGACTCTAACTATTACTTCTGCAATTTCTGGCTAGCTCCAGGCTAAGAGAAAAACCCAGAGTCTGCTCTATGGACACCCGAGAGGCTTGGGGTCTCAAGAGTGGATCCTCAAATAATCAGGAAACAAAATGAAAAGGGTACTAAAAATGACTTCACTGTGTTAATGGGATTAAGAAAAGAAAGAAACGAGAGAGAAAAGGAAGGAGCCAGGGTGTGGTGACCAGACAGGGAGGAGAGGGGGACAAGCTCACCATTTCCTGCGCCATCCATTTCCCCACTGATTAGTGCAGAGGACAGGAGAGCTGAGGCCTCACAAGCTATCAGATGCCACTTATGGCTAGAATCGAGGGTGTCACGGGGTGGACAGCAGGAGGTTGGGGGAGGGGCTATCAAGTTCGAGTGCCGTAATTAGCAAACACAGGGTGTTTGCAGATTACTCGTGCTGCTAATTAACTAGGAGCTAGAAGAGGGTGTAATATGAACCTTGCTTCATATTAAGGACAGCAGAGATGCATGCGACACGGCTAGCTGGCCCAGCCATGCATTTCTCACGCAGACGGGTACAGATTTATGCATACGACACGTGTCAATTGGAATATGCACTTGGCAAAACACATACCGGTTTGGTCTAATGGAATTTGGAATATGGGGTGAAGGAAACAAAGAAAAAAAAGACTCAAATGGAAAGGTAAGGAAACTGAGCCAAAACGGACACAGAACACAAATCAACATAATGCTGCAGTGAAAGTTTACAAAAAGAGAAAACAGAATAGAACAAAAAATTAGTCGCAAGATAATATACTCTCTAGGAACATCACTACAGATTTTTGTCAATGAAGACTTGCTATCAATACTACCCAACACGCCATAAATGATTCTAGCCAACGGAAGAATGCTGGGCAACTTGCGCCTTTTATGGAGAAAAAGCCTCCCTTATTTGGTGCATAGGTCAACAGGGCCCAGCCCTCACAGTTTGGATAATCACCTTGGTTTAAGAAACTTCAGCATTTCTGTTTTGAAAAAAGTAGCTCAGAGGGTTACAAGATAGTTCAGGAACTGTCAAAATCGCACATTGCCTCCTTTTCTGGCCTGTCACCTCGGATTCCCAGTTCCGGCATCCCATGGCACAGGGAGCCTGCACTCAGGAGTGGACAGAACCCAAGACTCTGTCCAGCCGCCATCCCCAGCCCACAACCGGCAGTGCCCTTGCAGGGCATGGACCATTTGGGAGGGGAGGAGGCTGGGACTTACAAAGGGGCCATGGAAATGTCCTGCCCATCATGGGCTATGGGACATCCTGGGACATACAGTACAGGGGGACGAATTCCATGCTAGGGCTGACAAGGGAGTCCGGGGAGGAAAAGGGAATGGAGAAAAACGTTGAAAACATGTCTGCTTTATTCAGAAAATTTAACTGCTGCCAAAGAACCCAAAAGCGAGACCCACCAGTAATGACTAGCGCATGATTTTAGACACCTGACAGTTCTGGGGGCCACCGTGGGGCCAGGGTGCCAGAGAAGATGTGTAAGCCACATTTACGTTTTCTTTCAAGACCTTGTTTAGAGGGCTCTACCACTGAGGTGCATAATGTGATTTCAGAGTCTGTAAGAGCTCAAGGAAATGATTTATTGGCTTAAAGGCTCTGCGTCCATCCAAAGAGGAGGTCCACAGCTTTCCTGATTCCTGGACTATGAGAACTACGCCCATGCTGTGGTGTCCTAACTGCACAAACGACCCCTGGGCATGCTGGAAAAAGTGGACAGTGGCACGCCCTCACCCTCACACAGAAACCCATGGCAAGACCACCTTCAGGAGAGGGCAGGATGGCCTACGTTCATTGAGCGACCCCTCCAGGGAGACTGCAGGGGCTGTCTCTCGCTATTGTCTCCCCTCGAGACTGGTCAAAACATTAGGGAACTTTCAACTTTAAAAGCAGCCACTCCCGAGGCATCATTATGACTGCCCTGAGCAAATGCACCCGGCCCCTTGCCCCCGAGACTGCACAGGCCGGCCCACAGCTCATTCCAAAGGACCTGCTCGTCGCACTTGTGGGGTGCACCGGGCCTCTGCCTGGAGAAGCTCTGTGTGGCCCAGGCGCCCCGCCCGCACCCTGGAGGCTCCAGACTCCGGCAGGAGGCTCCGGGCGCTGGACTCCCTGGCCCCCTTACCTTGTCATCCTGCGAGTCCGGCTGGAGGAGGCTGTGCTGCTGGATGGCCATGGGCGGGGGCAGGGGCACGGCGTCAGCCCCCTCCTCTCCTTCTTCCTCTCCGCAGCTCTGCATCCCCGAGGACGAGGACTTGGACAGCGTGCCGCTGCTGAGGCCCTCGTTCCGGCCTCTCTGAAACCAAAACAGCACTCGCGCGTTATCGTCTGGGCCACGACTGCCCGTGTCAGTTCACAGACGCCGGGCCCGGGGGGTGGTGGAAAGGTATGGTGGGGGCGGCAATGGAGGCGACAGAATCCGGGGGCAAGGCTATGATGGCAACTGTGCCCATGGTGGCAACTTCCCACCCCTCCTGCGCCCCAGCTACGCTGCCTGCCACCCTGGACATGGGAAGGGCCCGATGAGTCCCCGGAGGGGCCATCAATACTACCCATTAGCTCTGGACACATCATGGCCTCAAGAAGCCAAGGAAAAAAGACTTAAAAGACCACAACCTTCATGACGACTTGGTTCCTTTGGCCTAGCTCATTTCATCCTTGGTACCTTACTAGAGTGAAAACTGGTGTAGTGATAGAAAAATACAATCCAAGACACCCTTTAAGAATCTGCATTGGGACCAGCAGATGGTGTAATGGCTGCAGGGCTCACTGGAGTCCCACATAGTTGATAGTTGACTATGGTTTGAATTCCGGACCTGGCGGCTTCAAATTCACATGGTGGGACCAGCAGATGGTGTAACGGTTACGACGCTGGACTCCTACGTAGTCAACTGCAGTTCGAGTGCTGGACCTGGCGGCTTAAACTCATGCCGGGTGTGTGTGTATACGTGTTCCATGTGGTGATTTCTCACTTTCTATCTGTCTTTCTGGTGAACGCACATGCCCTATAGCAAAAACCTCTCTCAAAAAAAAAAAACAAAAAAAGGAACCGCCGGCAGACATGTGTGTGTGCCCAAGATCATGAAAGGAGAAGGGAAGAGAATGGATTGTGGCATGGCCATCCTCCTGGGGGGTGATTTCTCACTTTCTGCCTCTCTGGTGAGCACATGCTCCCTATAGCAAAAGTTTCTCTTAAAAAACAAAAAATAAAGAAAAAAAAAAGAATCTAAATCGAGTATCATTTTTCCTTTACTCTTGCTTTTAGAAAAAAATTTCAGTTTCAGTTCCATTAAGAGGACACATGTGGGGTGACCCTGTGGTCTGGTGGTTAAGGTGGCTGGGTCCCACATGGCCAACACGTGGCTCGCGTCTTGGTCCTAGTGGCTTGAAAACACACCTTGTGTGCACATGTGTGGCCAAAATTCTGAGAGGAGGGAGAAACAGAGGAGAAGGGATTGTGGCAAGACCACTCCCCATGGGGGTACTTTGTCCTCTCCCTCTCTGTGAAAGTACACTCTGGCAGAGTTTAAAAAAAACCACGAGGACACGTATATAAAGTGGACAAGAACCCACACACTCCAGGGAAAGTGCATGGCAAAGGGAAGGCCTGGAGAGGGTTAACAGGTGGTAATGGAGGTCAAGGCTGCTGGATCCCACAGAGCCAATACCACGGTTTGAGTCCTGGACCCAGTGGCTTGAAAATCGCACCAGGTGCACGTACATACATGCCCCAAATCCTGAGGAGAATGGAAGAGAAGGGACTGAGGCATGGTCATCTCCCCTGGGGGTGGGGGGTAGTTTCTCACTTTTCCTCTCTCTGTCTCTCTCTGGCAAGCACAAGGACTCTACAGCAAAAACTAAAAGAAAAAAAAAAGCTACCCCTTCCCCCCATCCAAATTCACACAAGAAAACACTGAGCAGCTTATCTGTCTCCGGGGACAATGGCAGGAATCACCATCTGCCATAAGTGAAAGAATGCGGATTCAATCCTGTCTCTCCTCAGTTGGAACCTGTGTGGGATCTGGGGAGGCCCAAGGGAGAACTCTGAGGGCCCCTCACGGCCAGCCATGAGACTATCTTGGGAGTCACAAAGGAATTCTGCTTCTTGCAGAATTTAAAGTCCCTGGACAAAAGAAATTCCTGGCTGATCTATATCCAAGCATCTCTGGTGACGTGGGAATAACCCAGTGCTTACTACTGGGTCAGCGAAGTAAACTAGAGAGTTTCTCCTCAGGGAAGAACCGGGGTGAGGGATGAGCAATCACTGGAGGATGCGAACGCCCCACGAGCTCCTCTGATCTAGAACGGGTGTGCTCCCTGCAAATGCGCCATGGTGGTCTGCTGACCTCAGGGCTGACGAGTGCTCGGGGACACCACGCAGTGCCCTCCTGGTGGAGAGAGGGGACAGGGTTGCTGCCTATAGTCCCGACTTCCTTCTGGGGTAGGGCAAGGAACCCTGGGGATCTGACCCGGCTCACAGGGAGCCACTAGCCCCACGGCCTTCCCAGTGCTTCCACTGACTCTGTCTGCCCAGCAGAGACTTCGATGGGGAGGCGGGATCCTGCTGACCACCGGGGGAGCACAGCACAGAACTGAGCAGGTTCACTCCCAGTTCTACAACTTCAAAGGAAAACGTTCCAAGGGTCTGGCCTTGGCCAAACTCAGGCTGGGCCCCGCTGCCTGGCCCGGCCCCCCAGTAGCCTCACCTCCTCGACGGTCTCGTCCTGCGGGGTGGCCGCGCTGTCGTCTGAGTCCTTCTGTGAGCCGGCATCAGCGCTCTTGCGGACCTCCCGGCTCTTCTTGTGCTTGTGGGCCAGCTTCTTCACATGCCCGTCGGCCTTGCCGCTGCTGAGCCGCCGCACAGGGCTGGTGAGCCACTTGCGTAGGGTGTTGCCCGGCCGCTTGGGGCCTGGTGAGCTCTGGGCCCCGATCATGTGGGGCTGCAGGGAGGCCACCGAGGCGGGCGGGCTGGCATCGTTGCTGGAGACGGACAGCGAGTCTGCGGACGAGAGGGAGATGGGCATTCACTGCACACCTGCCAGTGCCTTCGACCCACAGGCTGGAAAGCTCGGGAAGCCCTGGAGCTGGGCTGCAGGCTTTACCCACCTGGCAGAAGCAGCAAGAGGGCTGATCGCACACACATACTCACACACACACACGCACATGTGTACATACACACACACACACACACACACACACACGTACACGCACACAGGCTTCAAACGCTTATCGAGACTGAGTTTTGCCAGAGACAGTCTTTCTCAAGAGGCACTGGCCCTCCAGAAAAGTTCAAGTCACCAATCCTGAAAACCACCACCGTTATCAATAGCTTAAAATATCAGAAACTGAACACAGAATTCTAAAATTATTTCCATCCATTTTCTTGAGAAACAAAAGCCAAGCAAGAGAATGTAAAGGAAATTTTAAAAGTCTTTAGCTATATCAATTGGACATTCTTTATTTTAAAAAATTTTTTGCCACAGGGCTGGCAGGCGGCGTGGTGGTTAAGGGCGTTGGACTCCCACCTGGCCTACCATGGTTCGAATGCTGGACCTGGTAGTTTGCTTTCTCACTTTCTCTCTCTCTCTTTCTCCCTTCCTCCCTCCCTCTCTCATTCTGTCCCCCCTTGGTCAAATTAAAATAAATAAAGTCAAATAAAATAAGTTTTTTTTTTTTTTGAGAGGTTTTTCGCTATAGGGCACGGCACGTGCGCTCGCCAGACAGACAGAGACATAGAGACAGAAAGCGAGAAATCACCCCCCCAGGGGGGATGGTCATGCCATAATCCCTTCTCCTCCATTCTCCTCTCGGGATCTTGGGCATGCACGCACATGTGCCCAGTGTGAGTTTTAAGCCACCGGGTCCGGGACGCGAACCGTGGTCGACTACGTGGGAGTCCAGCGACATAGCCATTACACTAACTGCTGGTTCTCAAGAGTTCTTTAAAACATAATTTTGCCACGTGTGCTTACCAGAGAGAGACAGAAAGTGAGAAAGCACCTCCCCTACAATGGGGCATGGTCACGCCACCATCCCTTCTCCATCTCTCCCTTCTCCTGGGATCCTAGGCACATATGCACACATGCCTGGTATATTTCTCAAACTGTTAAGTTTGAGACTCAATCTGTGCAGTCGACCATGTGGCATCTAGCTACCTTAACTCTCATGCCACCAGCTGGCCCCCTCCATGACATTCTTATCATGAGTCGGTCCAGTTGGAGAATGTGCTGGGACTCCCCACCAGTAAGTATAACTCCGTAACCACACACATACAATGGGTTCACTGCACCTGGCTGGACAGGGAGCTGGCTGAAACGCGGGGTGGTTCACAGTGGGAGAGACCTGCTGGGGTGCTTCCTTCTCTCTCATATGCAAGAAATAAACTGAAGGGGGATAATGAAGGCATTTCCTGCTCACTTGGCAGGCCAAGCATTAGCCACATGGCCATGCCCAGACGGTCCATGCAGAACCAGGGAGGATCAGGCTTGCCCACGGCAGAGCTCATGGGTGCCTCAGACCAACACGCGGGATTCTGCAAGGGAGAGGGCAAGCAGTGTCCTTCCCTGACTCCCCATGGGGAGAACCACGGAGGTGACATTACTGACTTCACTGGAAAATCTGTGACCTTGAAAACCACCAGTAGTGGCTACGGACTAAGAAGAAAATTTCCTAGAATTTAACATTTTTATATAGACGTTTTTTGTTTCAGAAGTTAAAACGTAGAGGGAAAAACATCACTTGTCTCTGAGATCCGCAGACACTGTGTCTGGTGCAAGTGTGACACGTTAGTCATCATACTGGTGACCAGCGATGGGAAAGATGGCCCCCCCCTTCTGCTTTGCTTCTAATTCAGTTCCATGTGCTGTTTGACTCTCTCTGAAAAAGACAATACATGTTATTTTTTCTTTTTGCTGTAGAAACTCCTTTCACTGAAACCAGTGAATTCCAACAGCCATGTGCATGCTCTCCCCTGGGCTGGGGCGATACGTAAGTCGGGAACTCACAGCTTCAGAATTATTATGCTTAATACAGTCACTAGTGGAACGAAATAAAGTGTCTGCTATTATTTATGGTGATCTGAAGAACAGACTTTGCCCAGGGGCCAACACCTCTGTGGCAGACTTTGAAGTCAGTCACCTCTCCTAATGGTATCTCTAGTGGAATGAGGTCTTCAGTGTTGCAGGGTCTGTGATAAGTATAAATCCCACAAGAAACCAAGTGCTAAACTTTTAGGCCTCCCATCAGATCTACACACAGCTGCCTCCCGAGAAGGGTTCTGCAGATAGTGGGCCGTCACCGCAGGAGCCGAGTGCCCTGTCCTGACAGCATGGTGGGTGTGCTCCTTCCCCCAGCATCACACCCTCGCTGTTCTGCTCAGGAGTTGCCTGTGGATGGCTCAGTCCCAAGGGTAATCCCCAGGAGAGCCCTGTGGTCAGAGCCCTGCTGACCAGGTCAAGAGAGTGCCTTCCTCGCTGGGCAACTGCCAAGACAGGGAGCTGCCATGACCTTGGGCCCGGGCTTCGTGCGGGCCGTGTCTGTCTTGCTTACACACATGCCCAGCTGCCAAGGTGTCTCACAGGTACACATGAAAAAAGGACAGTGAACGACCCGGCTCCAGGCTGTTTCCTAGCCTAAGCACACACACCAACAATCTAAGTCAATTGCAGTGACTGGTGGTGTTCCAGTGTAGCTGTGTAGCCCGATCAGTTCTGAGAGGAACTGAAGTAACATTTAATTTTAGTCAAGTTCACAAGTTTGTGAATTACTGACCTCTAATTCTGAGCAGATCAAGGCCACCCTCCTGAGACCCAACTCTCCCCTGTGTTTGCCTTTGACTTCTCACGAGGCCGAGGCCAGACTAAGTGCATGGGAACATCACCCCTCATGTGAGGCACTGGTGCAGGGGCAAGAACAGGGCCCAGGATCAAACTGACTGGGAAGTGCCCTGAAAGTCTTGTTAACGCCCAAACTGCATTTGTCCCTCTGGTTTTTTTTTTTTCTCCCTTTTTTTGGAGAGGTTTTTGCTATAGGGTGTGTGCGCTTGCCAGACAGACAGAGACAGAGAGATAGAAAGCGAGAAATCACTCCCCAGGGGGGATGGCCACGCCGCAATCCCTTCTCCTCCATTCTCCTCTCGGGATCTTGGGCATGCACGCACACGTGCCCAGTGTGAGTTTAAGCCACCAGGTCCGGGACTCGAACTGTGGTCGACTACGTGGGAGTCCAGCGACATAGCCATTACACTAACTGCTGGTCCCGTCCCTCTGGTTTTTTGACAACTGTGTCCTTCTTGGAAGAGAGCCAGGTCCTGGTCCTGCCTTCTCAGCCAACACTCAGGTCAGCTGGCAAGAATTTCAGTCCACACGATGCCGGGCTTGGGAATGTGCTTTTTTTCCTCTTTGCAGCTTCGCAAACCCACTAAGGCCCAGGTGGCAGATCACACTAGGCTGGCAAACCCACTGACTAAGGCCCAGGTGGCAGATCACACTAGGCTCGTCAAGGGTCTGAGTCTGAGTCTAGATTCCCCAGGTAGTATTCTGGCACGAGAGCTACCCCATCTCGCAGGGCTGTAACAGGCTTACAGGAAGTCACGGAATGAATGGGCTGCGTAAACTGTGACGCTCTACTTAGACGTAGGATGGCTGAAGCCCGCCCAGGACTCCAGGGCAGCACAGAACTTCCTACACTGAATCACTGAATTTACATAAGCTGGGAGTCCCAGAGAAACGGGGATCAGCTTTAGTCACAATTAGGTTTGCAGTCGCAGGCCAAGTATGGCGTCTAGGGAATGCTAGAAATCACTTCCAGGTGCATGAAGAATGAATGACGCACCTAGATGAAATACTTAAATCTGTTCCTATCGTCCCTAATCAAGAGGACGAAGTGGACTAGCAGGTGGCATGGAGGTAAGGCAGATGGATCCTACGTGGCTCAATGGGCAGTTTGAGTCCTGGACCTGGTGGTTTGAAAAACACGCTGAGCACACGTCTGTATGTGCCCAATGTCCCCAGAGCAGAGTGGAGTAGAAGGGACTGGCCATGCCCCCGGAGGGTGATTCTCACCTCCCCGCCAACACACTCGCATGCTTTCTCTTGGTGAGTGGATGCACCCATAGCAAAAACTCAGAAGAAATGGGAGGAGCACAGAGAGATGCTCCCGGCATATCACAGGTGCCCAGTGCGGACCACAGAAAGCCACGGGTGAACTGCACGATCTGCATGACACCCTGCAAGAGAAAACACATTCAAGTTGATTTCGTATTTTGGGGGGAGACCCTCACGCAGATGGCTCTGGCCTGTAGTCAGAGTTCGCAGAGAGTCCACTCTCACATTCTTTTTAAAATAAAGGAAAAGCAAGGAGAGAAGAGGAAGCCAGGGCCCTGGCCCTCGCACCGCACAGGGCATTACTCCACGTGAACACACACACAGCAGCCCTGCTGAGAGAGCAGAGACCGCCTCCGGCCCCGGCCTGCAAATCTGGGACATCTGTGATTAATAAAGGCACTTTTTATTTTTTAATTTAGGAAAAAAGGAAAAAGGATCATATCCTGCCAGTCACAGACTAAGGAGGATCACATTTCCGTTGAACTCCTTCATCTTACAATGGTCACATGTTTATGTCGTCTGAGTGTCCAGCACAACTGGACTGCAGAGTGTGGAGCTACAACCAGCTCCTCGCATCTCTGCACTACTTCCGTTTCACTGTCTCAAGACACGCAGGCTCCAGGGGGTCAGAAGCATTTGCTGCCCTTGTATCCGGAGTACAAAGCCTGCCTGGCTGCAAGGCTGGGTTCCAAGCCCACCCCCACTTCCCATGGCATGTGGGTATCTTGCAAGTCCACAATTCTCTTTTGCTTTACTTCCTGGTGTATAATATGACAGCAATTCCTCTGGATTTACCAGGCTGCTGGGAGGGAAAGGTATCAAAGAGGTCTCTGTAAATGTAGAGCCTAACGTAAGTTGGAGGCAAGACTCACATTGTGAACAGGGAAAAAGCCAA